GTTTAAAACTTCTCGCCTAATCCCTATCTTGTGCAACTTCTACCTAGAAACCCTTTAGATATGAGATCTCCCTCTCACTTCCTAATCAGTCACAAACCCAGTGACAATTCAACAACAACAAACAATAGGAGTAGCACACTTCCAAGACAATACTTGCTTTTTCTTAAAAGCTTCAATCAAGAACAATACACTCTTGCTCAAAAGCTTTGGAGTGAACAATTAATACTGAACAATCAATCAACCTCAATGCATTAGAAGATACATGAGTGACATATAATTAACAAGCACTAAACTCTAAAGACCAACCAAAACACGACTAATCCTTATTTTCCAAAATTTTCACGTTGTGTTCTCTACCTCAATAGGGTTTGGTCTTCATTTTAAATAGCCTTCAGACCTAATGAACTTAGGCTACTTGAGGTGCACAAATAACATCAATCAGTTTTAACTTACTGCAAATCATCCTGCACAATAAAAGAAACAAAATACAAACTTTCCTAAAAAGGCTCAAGGAACCTTTTTATGAAAACTAGCAGAATCTGTTATAACAGAAATTCCCACAATATACTCCAATGAATATCACACACGTGTGTATCCGAACACACTAAAAAATCACACTAAAAATACCAAAATAGTCATACCTTAACTTTCTGGTATAACATGTCTTGGAACATGTCACAACATCATGCAGAACATGATGTCTGGCTGTCATGGCAGAACATCTGGTTTAACATCTTGCTAACAACATGTTTTACCAAAATGTAGTCAATTCAAAAAAGATACAGAACTTACAGATCATATATTCATGAGAAAGCAATTTGCATGTATCATTAAATTAAATTAATCCTTTGACTTTAATTGTTATTTTGACATTTGTTTGTATCTCCTTCTATAAGAAAATTATATTGACTTGTAAATAATAATTAAAATGTCATAAGATGAATAATGCATTTATTTGTGGATAAAATGTTTTTTTTATAAAAATTATAATGAATATGAAGTTATGGTTCATAAATTGGAAACATAAAATGGTATAAAAACTATAATAATAATAATAATAATAATAATAATAATAATAATAATAATAATAATAATAATAATAATAATAATAATAATAATAATAATAATAATAATAATAATAATAATAATAATATTATTAATAATAATAATAATAATAATAATAATAATAATAATAATAATAATAATAATAATAATAATAATAATAATAATAATAATAATTTAAAGGACATGATTCAATTGTATTGTTGTTTGTGCAATAACTTATTAAATTTAAAAATACTTATCTCATATTATATGTGGATGTTAATATGAAAAAATTTATTTCTTGATCATCTAATTGATATTAAAAGTAATTTGTACATTTTATTTATTATTGAAAATTGACAAATGTTTATAAAAAAGTTATAGAAAATATTAATGATTTTGGTTCATTGTTTATTTTATAATTTGATTCTTATATGAATATAACATAAGACATTGTTAAACATGAAGTTAAGAAATATAATTCATTATGCATATGTTAGTTATGCAATAAAATATTTATTTTAAGAGAATATAAATAAATGAGTGTTAGTTAATCTAATGTATATGAATTTTATATTTTAAACCTCTTTATAAAATAAAAATAATGATCATGGTTATCGATTGCTATAAATATTTAATGCATTGAATATATTTTAGATATATTGAAGTAAAAGTGTAACTTCAAAGTAAAATGATTATTATTAAATATTATATTGACAATGGAAGAATGACATAAAATTTGTTGTGTCATTTTTTTTAAGAATGTCATTAACTTTATATAATGAATAAATTTCTTTTGAAGAAAAAAAAAATATTTCCCCATATGAGATATGGAAAGACATAGCGTAAAATATCAATTATTTTAGAGGAAAAAAATGATATTTCTATATATTTTTTTAAATTGCTCAGAATTTTATCTTCCACTTCATCTAAAATCCTTCTTGCATTATCATGCATGATTATCTCAAAACCTTCTTCATCTAACTCTTGTGACCAATGTTTGTACACAAAGTTGCGCGAGAATATTATGATATCCCTTTGTCTCTATATTAATTACATATTGATCATTAACAATGAGAAGAATGAAATTTTAGAAACATAGAGGTTTCTAACTTCCACATACAAGATGAATGATCTTGAACTAGTTGGCATAATTTTGGGGATCAAAGTCAAGCGAAATAGTGAGGGTTATGAACTTAGTCAAACACATTATGTTGAGAAATTACTTGACATGTTCAAACACTTACATTTCAAGAAAGCGAGTACTTCATTTGATCCTAGTGTCAAACTTCAAAATAATGATGGAAAAGTTGTGGCTCAATTGAAATATGCAAGTGCATGCAATGTACTAGACCCGACATAGCATTTGCAATTAGTAAAATGAGTAGATTTTACTAGAAATCCAAATGGTGAGCACTAGAATGTCATCATTAGGTTTTTCGGCTATCTTATGAAAATAAAAAATTTTGGTCTCTATTATGGTAAAGTTCCTACCATATTAGAAGGATATATTGATACGAGTTGGATATCAAGTGTTGAATACCATAAATCTGCATTTGGGTGAATATTTATACTAGCCGAGGGTGCAATTTCTTGGAAGAGGAAGAAACAAATGTGGATCAATCTTTCAACCATAGAATCAGAGCTCGGGGCTCTTGCTTCTGATGGTGAGGAAGTTGAATGGTTGATGAACCTTCTGTTGGAAGTTCCATTGGCTAAAAAAAATATTTCAAAGGTGTTGATACATTACGGTAGCCAAACCACTTTACCTAGAGCATACAGAAAGTGGATAACATAAAGTTTAGGCAAGTAGGATTTAGACATTCTTTTGTGAGAAAATTGATTAAGGACGTAATCATTTCATTCACATATATACGATCGAGCTATTATTTGCTTGATCCATTTACTAAACCACTAGCTAGAGATTTAGTAAAGACTATCTCGAGAGACATGGGATTGAAAATCCTTGAATAAGATTTCTGACAACGGTAGCAACCCAATGTGAAGTTAGCAAACCTTAATCTAAGATTCAATATGTAACAACAAGTTGTTGATATGGATGTTTGTGCAACATTTTGTGACAATGTTGACTATTATATTTGAGGTTTGAGTTTTTTTTCAAACTCTTAATGAAGTTCTATATCGAGGATATGTATTTAAAGAAATAGATATAAAATAAACTTCACCTATATGAATTTCGAGATAGTGTCGTCTTAAAGTGAGAGTTGGGGTTTCTCTCATGAAAAATTCATGAAAATAGAAAAAACACATGGCCATAAACAGTGCTAGGCGAGAGATGTACGCAAAGAACCATTAAAAAATGCGTATAAGGTAACGCTGGTATAATCACAAAGGATAAGAGTTCAAAGGATAACTACCTAAAATCCCGATTAAACTTTGCGTTATCCTTACTAATGATAAGTTAAAATCTAAATTAACATTCTTTTCCTCTCTTTTTCTGAAATTGGTGTTGTCATTATTAGAACAAGTAGGAGATTGTTGTAAATTATTAACAATTAATAATCTTGAGTGTGTTCCCTAATGATAAGAAAATATGCATGTGAACGTTAATTTTTTAATTCAAAAATAGGCAATACTTATGAAGTGTTGCAGTAGGGAGTTTGTATTTTAAGTCTAGAAATAGGCAACACCTCGAGAAGTGTTGCAGAATGTGAAACAATACAACCTTTGAAAACTGTTGTTGTAGGCAAAACAGTGCAACATTTGATAAAAGTGTTGATGTAGGCGAAATAGTGCAACATTTAAAAAGTGTTGTTGTAGGCAAAACAATGTAACATTTGGTAAAAATGTTGCTGTAGGCGAAATTGTGCAACATTTGAAAAGTGTTGTTATAGGCGAAACAATGTAACCTTTGATAAAAATGTTACTGTAGGCGAAACAATGCAATATTTAGTAAAATTATTGTTGTAGACGAAACAATGCAACATTTGCTAGAAGAGCCGCTGAAAGTGTGTGTTTTATTAAGGGTCGCAACCTTGTGAAACAACATTACTTTTACCTATAAATTAAACATTTCAAATTCAAAAAAATACAACACAAATGCATATCCTCTTCACACAAAATTTCAGATTTCATCTTTCCTACATTGGAGTTTTCATTGATCTTGTGCAAACTCACTTATAAACTGAATTATTCTGAATATTCTTGCGTTTCAATTCTAAGACATTTAAGAGTGCTTGAAATAATTATAAAATAAGTGATTTAATTTAAAATTCTAACCTAACTCCATTCAATTTAAATTAATTTTTTAAAATAAATTTTTCTGCAACAATGCTCAAAGTCATTACTATTCACCGAGTTTTTATTTATTTATCATGGTATCTAACATACTTATTTATTAATCATCCTAGAATCAGATAGCCTTAAGGTTATTCATGTGTCGACCAAAAACAACGAGTTATTTTCACGCGCACAATTCATTGCTTCTAAAAATTAGTCTAATACACCGTATCTCAAATTTGACTATGCATATTTTGATAACCCAAAATCTTTGTACTTATTAGCTAACAATATATGAGAACTATTCCATGTGTGTGTTTTTCTTAATTTGTTTTTGTTCTGTTTAGTATTCACTAAAAACTAAAAATCTACCGTCTTGATCCTAAAAACCAAGGGAATGTATATGAATATTTGAATGTTACTTACTTTACACGTATTTTTCCTTGTATAAACACTTAAGCATACACTTAATTTTAATATAATGTTATCACCTCATCTAGCTTTCCGTCCAACAAAACATGTCTCACATCACATCCCTCTGTCACATTCCATTTCGGAGGAATCAAACAAATATCAAAAAGTAAAACCCACACACCAAAACAAAAAAGTGTTTCAACACCTTCTCCTAACTCAACTTATATACTCCAACAAGAGACTAGAGAAAACCGAAGAACAGCTCCGAGTTGAGTTGAGTTGAGTTGAGTTCAAAACCGTTGATGGGTATCTGGTTTTCAACAACCTCATCCCAATCTTCCAAACCGAGTTTAGATGAGTTACCCGAAAGCTGCGTTGCTGCTGTGATGCAGTACATGGATCCTCCTCAGATTTGTAAATTAGCTTCTTTGAATCGCACTTTTCGCGCCGCTTCTTTCGCTGATTTTGTATGGGAATCCAAACTTCCTTCTAATTATGACATCATCCTTGATAAAATCGGTGCTAGTTTTCCATCTCAGTTGGGGAAAAGAGGGATTTATTCGCGCCTTTGTTCCCTCAATACTTTCGATGATGGCAACACGGTAACAATCGATGAGTTCTCTTCTTTGTTCTTGTGAAGAATTGAGAAGTGAATAATTTTTTTTTTGTTTTTTTTTTCTTTTTCAGAAAGTTTGGTTGGATAAAAGTATCGGTAAGGTCTGTTTGTGTATTTCGGCTAAAGGATTGTATATAACAGGGATTGATGATCGAAGATATTGGAACCATATTCCCACTGAAGAATCAAGGTAACATATATAATCTTCAATTCTTCTTGTTTTTTTTTTTGATTTATTTTATTTTATATTTTATATATTTTTGCTAACTATGCACTCTAGGTGTTCGAATTTATGTTCTAGTATATTTTGGTCTGGTAAATTTGTGGCTATTTTTCATGTGAGATTGGTTCTGTGATGGTCGAAAATTAATTTTGATTGATCTTATAATTCTACTTGAAAGTAAGTTGAATTATGAGTGTTGATGAATATAATTACTGAAAAAAGATATATTTTTTTTATCAATTTATGTTTGGCTAGAGCCTAGAGGTGTAGAATTGATCTTTAGATGTTTGACTACTTTCAATTCACTTTTCCATGGACGCATTCAAGCATAAATTATTGTATTTTCAACTCACTTTTTTACTCTAAATTAATTTTACATAATCAATGTATTCATAACTAATTTTGTAACTCCAAAAACAAACACATTTACTGAGAATTGAGTCTATGTTAACTCGGAAGCTAGAGATGTTAGTGTGTGTTTATGGTGATGAATGTTGATTTTAAGTGAATTGATTATGTAAAATTGATTTAGTCTAAAAGTGAATATAAGATAAAATAATCTATGTTTGGATAAATTTATATAAAAGTCAGTATATTAAATTTAAGTGCAAAAATCACATTTAAATCCAAATACAAATTTTAGCTTCAAATTGAGTTAACTCTATCCAGACGCATAATCAATTCTGTTTCAATTTCGAGGCTGAAAGCCAAACATGACATATTTACAAACTAACTAACCAGAAGTGATTCTGATAGGTTCAACGGGGGGAATGGATTTCTTGTTGTAACCGAGTGATGTAGTTACAACTTTTGGACGTCCTATCTAAATCAATAGACAAGATCATTTAACTGCGTGGAAAATAATTATATAACTTCAACCATCCGGTCTTAAATTAATGGTTAATATTTATAACTGTGTGAAAGTGTGTCATCTTACAACCTAATGGTAAATATTTAGAACTGTGTGAAAGTGTGTCATCTTACAACCAATTCTTACCATGTTTAGGAGTCAAAAGACTGCACCACGTGTTCTGAATTAACCTACCAAGTAAAATTTGTAGCTTTTGGTATTGTTCTGTATTAGCTGAATTTTGCTCTTGCCTTGTGTTGCTGTGAAGGAAAACATATAGATATTGATGAAGATTGTACTTCATTTTCTTTTGTTATCCTGGTCGATAGAACTCCAAGTGTCGCGATCCTGGTTGCAACACACGGTATCAGGATTGCGACTCAAGTTATGTCATTTCAATTTTGCAAATAAGAAGTGTAGTTTAAAATTTTAAATCAATGTTGAATAAGTTGAACATAGCTTTTCGGAGTAATAATAATGTCAATGTTGATCATTTGCAGATTCAGTAGTGTTGCATATCTCCAACAAATCTGGTGGTTTGAAGTGGACGGTGAAGTCGAGTTTCCATTTCCACCTGGAACATACAGCTTATTCTTCAGAATACATCTAGGAAAAGCCTCCAAGAGATTTGGAAGAAGGGTTTGCAACACAGAACATGTTCATGGGTGGGATAAAAAGCCAGTTAAATTCCAGCTATGGACTTCAGATGATCAACATGTTGCATCACATTGTTTTCTGAAAGGTACGGGCAAATGGCGCTATTACCATGCAGGCGATTTCGTGGTTGAAGATGGTAATGTATCAACAAAAGTTAAATTCTCTATGACTCAAATTGATTGCACACATACTAAAGGTGGTCTCTGTTTAGATTCTGTGTTTGTGTATCCTAGTGAGTTTAGAAAGGTTAAAGAATTTTTGAACCACTCTTAACCTTGAAGGTGAAAATATACTATACTAGTGTATTTTGTATGTATTAGAGATTAGGACAGCAGAGAATCTAGTTTTAAATAGGGTTCTTTTAGGTTTTGAATTTTGTATTAGTTAGGGCTTATTAGGTTTAGTCATGTATGTATGTATATTTATATATTTAATTATTTATCATATTTTTAATTAGTATGGAATGTTGTATAGTTGTGCAGATGGAATAAAGTCATTTGACGACAAAGAGATCAAGTTGGGAGGAAGGAATAATTCCTTTAAGGAATTAGATTCTGTCTAAACAAAAAAAAAAATCCCACCATCTAACAGTTGAATGATTAAAATTCCAAAATATTAAAAATAGAAATAAGTGCACCCAAAACAAATCATTGTCCAACACATTCAAACATTGTCCAATGTTTGGATTAATCTAATGATTTCTTAATACATTTTATCTCTTTATGCGAAATTATTTAAATGCTCATAGTTTTTAGAAATATATTTCTGAACGTATCAAATTTTTAATGAACGTTGAAATATTTCGGAGATAAATCTTCGTAATAATTTAAAACATATAGGGTGAAAAATCATTATATTTTTGAATTGTACCGAAGATGCATTACCGTAAATATTTCAAAGATACATCTCTGTAAAATATCTTAAATATGTCTTTTATATTATATTTTGTTTATATGTGTTCAAATGAAGATTTAAACCATACCATACAATCGAAAATAAAGAATAAACGTACATAATTCCAGATGGTCCAAAAATGCCATACATAAATAAAATACTAATAAATGTCGAATATATCGTACAATAGAGATCAACTCAATAGTAAGACCGTCAAAATAAAATACAGACCATAGTCCCCTATGTCTCCATCATAATTGCATCTAGGACTTGCCTCACATCAGATTTTTAACGCTCCGTTTTATTTTAAATTATTTTCGTAATTTAATTACGTGAAGTTGTGTGTATATGTGAATATTGAGTTGAGATTACTGGTGTGAGAGGTAAAACTAAATAGAATATATTAGTGATAATTAATTAATTATTTAATATTAGGAGAATATTATTTAATTAAATATTGCTGAGAATCATTATTATTATTTTAATTGGATGGGATCAATAATAATAATAATAATAATAATAATAATAATAATAATAATAATAATAATAATAATAATAATAATAATAATAGAATGAATAAAAGAAAATGAGATATTAAGTGTGTAGAGAATTGTAGGGAAAACTTGTAATTGCATGAGGATGAATGAGGGTAAAAGAGGAAAACCATAGTTGAGAAATTTTATAAAAGAATTGAAAAAGATTGGAATCAGTTTCTGATCGCAAGTGAATTTGAAACGGAAAGTGAAAGAGGCTAGGGCAAGGAAGATGAAGAATGTAACACCCCAATTTTTAATTGAAATATTTTAATTTATTTATTTAATTGAGAATATTCATTTTCAACGATTTTCGGTAGTTTGGTGGATTATTGGAAAAGTGTGTATTTTTGGGTTATTTATTTGATTAATAGTATATAATATTAATTTATTAGTATTATTATTATTTAAAATAAATAATAGTGAAAGAAGGGTAATTTGGGCAATTGTGAGGAGTAAGTGAGGGTATAATGGAGAAAGCCCAATTGTGAGGCCAAAGTCTAGGTTTAACAAAAAGGGAGTTCTAAAGGGTTTTAGGATTCATTTTCTGTTAACCGTAAGAATTGAGGCCAGAGAGTTCTGAAGAGGAAATTGGAGGCAGAAGCGTTGAAAGATTCCCTGACAGATTTGTGAAGGCTTTGAATCAACGTTTAAGGTATGAGGAGTATTGTCTTTCCTAATTTTCTATGTGTATATTTCGATGTAGTAAGGTTGATTTAAGGGTTAAGGGTTTTGAGGGTAGAGATGAGAAATTATGATCTTTGGCCTTCGTGGCCTAAACCGATTATAGGTAAATCTAGTCGTGGTTCAATTGGGGAAAAGGGATTTTGGCCTTCGTGGCCTAAATCTGATTTTTGGGAACTTTAGTGGTAAGTATTCCTGACGCATAATATGAGAAAGGGAAACCTTAGGCCTTCGTGGCCAAAACCTTGAATTGTTATATGACAGATCCTGTAGGAATAGGAATATTCGAATGTGAGTAATTCTAATGCCTTATGTCGCTTCCGCGAAAATAAGGTGCCGGCAAAACAGAAGAGTCGCCACCTTTCGTTATTTATCCCTCAGAACGGGAAAGGAAACGATCGGAAAAACCTGACGAAAAAGGTAAGACAAGGTCATCGCAACCATTGTATGGGTTCGGGAGTCGGTTACGCGAGGGGAAGGTATTAGCACCCCTCACGTCCGTCGTACTCGACGAGATCCACGCTTGTTGTGTTTACTGGACGAGTTGGTTTATCTATCTACCTATCAAGGCTGGTCTGAAAAAGAAAAGAAAATGACTCGGCAAAGCGTCGCACTTTATGCCTACGTATTCTCATCAGAGAATGAGAAATCAGAGTCAACGTAGTTCGACCTACTACGGGTTACGGGGAAGGTGGCTCGCCAATACGTCAGTATTGTGCCTACGTACTCTCAACAGATATGAGAGATCAGAGCTTACGTAGTTCGGGATAATACGGATTACGGGAATCCAGATTCATCTGTTTTATCGAGTAGGGTTAAACAACAGTTCCAGCAGTTAGGGACAAAGCCTGTTTGCGGTGGCACTGAAGTTTAACGACACTCTTTTCTTCAGAAAAGCTTCCTTTGAATTATGGGCCCACGGGGCAAAAAGGTTTGAAGTTTGTTTTCTGTCTTTTACGAAAGAAGTGTTTTTTATCGTGTTTGCAATTTCAATCGCACTAGAGACTATGACCTGAGAGTGAATGCGTCGCCTGTCACCCAAAGGGTGCCATACTAAACATCCAGACTGTTGAAAAGAAGCTCTCCAACAATCCTTTCTCAGATAGCTTAAGGCTCGTAACGTACGAAAGAAATCATTCATGATTATTGTATCTTAAGTTGTTTGAGATGAGAAGAGAACAGGCTCAACTACGGGGAGACTATCAAGTCCTACTGTTGTCATACCAAGGATTCATCCTATGGTTGAGGTTTGAAACATGGAACTCCTAGAAATTGCCATGCATAGGTTTCAACCTAAAGTTCTATCATCATTTCCTTATCAAAGGAAATGAGAGTCCTAGGGGATCATATCAATGATAAACAGAAACAGATAAAGCATCAGCTTAAACAGTAAACAGTAAACGACTGTAAAATGCATGCAATGCAAGTGAGGGAGGAAATGTGTGCGGGGCAGCAGCCTCCACAAGCTCATCTCAACCTCAAGCTAGAATGAATAACAATAATCATACTGAGGAAAATAAAACAACATGCTATCAAGCAAAACACAGTAAGCTGCAATCATACAGAAGAAATAACATGCTATCAAGCAAAATAAACCACATGGGCAAGGGAGCAGGGCTCTACCGAATACCCGCAAGCAAAGCCATACAGTAAGAATACAAGCAGAGGGAGTAACTCAACCTCTAGTGCAATCATGCTCCTAGATTAAAGCTAGTCTAGATATGATCTTATTCTAATGCATCAAGCAAGTCAAACAAGGCACATCAATACAAAAAAGAAAACAGACAAGAAAGCAGCAGATCAGCAACTCCCTCTTCTCCAAGCCTCAGCTCTTCTGACAGCAATTCAGTCTTCAGACTTCAATCACCCTTCAAGGCTACCATCTCTCATGACAAATATCAATTTGCTTCTCCAGGGTTTCAATCCATCAAACATAAGTATCAACTTATCTTCACTTCTCCAAGCTTCAGCTCCTCAGTCAATTCCACCTTCAGGCTTCACTCTTAACCACAAGTGTCAACTTGATTCCTTCAGATTCTCAATCATCAATGTAAGTGTCAACTCATCCTTCAAGCTTCAGTCCTGCACTCAATCTTAATTGAATCCTCTTCATAATTGGCGACTCATCCTTCAAGCTTCAGCCCTGCACTCAATCTTAATTGAATCCTCTTCATAATTGTCAACTCAGTCTTCAAGCTTCAGCTCTCTTACTTTACCAGTCTCAACTTGGTCTTCTCTTCCTGCAAGCTTCAGCTGCTCAGAGTAGTCCTTAATCACTTAGAAGTGTCAACTTCATCCTTCAATTCTTTAAGCCTCAGCTATTCATTCAATCTTTACTGGATCTTCATGGGGTCTTCAAGTATCAACTTGTTTCTTCTTGCTCTTCAAGCCTCAGCTGCAATGGCAATGCTCAGGGAATCATCCTTTTCCACACTCTTCAATGAAGTCTTCATCTTCACACTCAAGCCCAACATCTTCAAGATACTCCAACCAGAAGAAATCACTTAACTGGATAAGCTAGGATATTAAACTGCTTATTGACCACCAAAGGTGACCTGTAAGGGTTCAACATCAACAGAATGGTTCCCTCAAAAGTTCTACTTCCTAGGTACCATCACTTATCCCTCCAAAGGAGGGAGGTGAATACCATGGGAGGACCTTGAATCATGGGGAGGAATGGAGGTGAAAGATACCATCCATGTTTAAGAAAGAAATTAACTAAGTCTAAGCTCTACTTAATTCCTAACCCTAAAACAACAACAAAACAAACAAGTCTTCAAGCTCTCAAGCTCCTTCTTCAATTTTCAAGTCTTTCACTATGCTCCTCCATGCTCCACAAAGCAAGACCAAGCCCACCAAGCCAAGCAAAAGCCCACAAAGCAAAGCAAAACAAAATACAAGCCCACAAGGGCAACACAAACAACAATCAACTACAAAAATCAATTAAAAATAGTATACTATTATATTAAAATCTAATATAATTTCTAAGGGATCCTACATGACTACCCTTAATACCCTATATGTCTCAATATCTAACTTGACCTAAAAACCCAAAATTCTAGTGTTATTGTGGACCTATGTTAAGGATTAACCTAAATCTACACAACCTAAAGTCATCTAATCAAAACTAATCAAAAATTAATCACAAAATTAAGGAATAAA